CCTCAACCCTAAACCCTAAACTGTATGAAATTACCCAGTACCCGGGACCTTGAACAACCCCAGGCCGGGCCGTTGGGGCTTAAACCTGAACTATAGGAGACCTGCATTTTTGCCTAGGGTTTAGGGTTTAGGGTTTAGGGTTTAGGGTTTAGGGTTTAGGGTTTAGGGTTTAGGGTTTAGGGTATAGGAGACCTGCATTTTTGCCCGGGGGGCTCCTGATTATGGTTGTTTCTTATAAGGGTTTTGGGTTTTAGGGTTCAGGGTTTAGGGTTGTTTAGGGCTTGGGGCTATAAGTTATATAAGTCCTTAACCATGTAGGGTATTCGTGTTTCTTCAATGGCGAGAGAGCATCATTGGGTGTTTAGGAAGCGCACGGCTCCGAAACGCAGAGGTTTGGGTTGTTTGGGTTTCACGGTGAACAGATGGTGGTCCTGGGTTTCTGGGTTGAGGATCCTCGAAGTTCAGGGGGTTTGGGCGGGTTTAAGGTTCAGGGCTCTTTTTGAGAGCTTGGGTGGGTCTTATAGGACCAAGGGTCCTGTCAGGGTTGAGGGTTAATGTGTTCAGGGTTTGAGGCATGGGTTTAGGGTTCAGGGTTTAGGGTTGAGGGTTCGGGGTTGGGGTTTAGGGTTCAGGGTTTGAGGTTTAGGGTTCCGCGGTCAGGGTTGCGGGTTAAGACGTTTAGGGGTTTGCAAGCTCCACCCAAGAAACGAGATCCGGACGTCCCGCCTGTGGCTTTTCTCAACCCTGAAGCTTTCTCCTGCGACTCCATAAATCGTATATTATGTTTTCCAAGTTTACCACTATAATACATTGTAGTATACGATAACCTCCAAGTTTACTACTAAAATCATATATTGTAGTACAGTGTAATCCCCAAGTTCCAAGGAGCTTCAACAGTCTTCCAAGCTCAAAACCCTCGGCCCATGAGCCTGGCCATGCCATGAGGAGACAAGGGCGGCTACGGCGGCTACGGCGGCGGGGGTGGTGGAGGTGGAAGTTACGGTGCCCCGAGCTGAAGTGCGCACATGCTCAGGGTGTGAAGGTGAGTGGGGAGATGAGTATTTTTGGGCTCTGCTGCTCTTTCGAAGCTTGACAGGTGCATCCTTTAAATTTTAAACCCTAAACCCTAAACTTTAAACCCCAAACCCTAAACCGTGTTTGCTGTTGCTTGCTGGTGTTCTGTCTCCACTCGTTAAGAGTCTGGAGCTGCCCCCGCGAGCCCAAGACACTCGGGAGACTTAGCGAGCTCGCTTTCCACCGGTTTGAAGGGGTTCAGGGTTCAGGGTTCAGGGTTCAGGGTTTAGGGTTTAGGGGTTCAGAAGGTTCAGGGTTTAGGGTTTAGGGTTCAGGGTTTAGGGTCTAGGGAGTTCCACAAGAAAGCCGCGGATGAAAGAATTCAGGCGAGAAGCCATAGAAGAATCATAGAACAAGGGTCGGGTCTGCCTGAGGCGGGGTTTCTAATCCAAGTACCGCGGAATACAATTTTACTACTAGTTTACTTCAAGCAAGAAGCAGAAGAGTTCATGCATCTAGACTCTAGACAATACCGGGAAACATCAGCAACAGAACAGCCCCGCCACATGGTCCCTGGCTTTGCTTCCACCACGCAACGGGGCGGTAGTCACCCAAAGCTGCTCAAGGTGTTGGGGGCGAGACGGAAGAGATGGAGGCATGTTTTGGGATGACGCAGTAGACGAATGGTGTCTCACCAAAGCTTTCTGCGGCTTTTTGTTGGGGTTGTGTGGTCGTGTAAGGTTTAGTTCCTGCCTGTAGAGGCTACATCGCGATCTACTGCATGAAGTTTGTTTCTTTCAGGCCTTTCTCAAGCCTTCTGGGAGTTTCAGACACTCGAGGACCCGGATACAGGCATAGAGCAAATAGTAAATAGTATAGCAGAATCCTCACCTTACGGACCCTCAATTACGGTACCCGTACGAAACCCGATAATCTTGCAGGTCGACGACCGGGACATCGGTCGCATTGTTGGGCGAGGCGGCTGCAACATCCGTGACCTGCAGGCCTATGAGGGCTTTCCCCGTTTGGTTGCGGCGAGGAGCAGTCCGAAATGTCAAACCGAAGCCCCAGATTCAGGGTTTAGGGTTTAGGGTTTAGGGTTTTTGCGGGGCTGTCAGACAGTACCATTCGTGAGGATCTACCAAGTCCATGCATCATGTATCATCTAGCACTCCGCCTTGGATTCCTTGGATCCCAAACCGTGGCAATGTCTACCCAACCTCCATGGCCCAGAGTTGAGCCCACCCAAGACCCGAAACTCTGTCGTTTTGGGGTTTAGGGTTTAGGGTTCTTCAAGTTCACATGACATAGAGTTTTACAATTGTGGGGATTTCACTGCAGCTTGCATACTCAACTTTCAGCCGGGTTTGTTCAACTGCACTCAAAGTCCCTTGTCCTGAAGTCTCCTCAAATCGTGACCCTGAAGTCTCGTTGATGCATACCATGCCGGACTTCCGACCAGGAAGGCACGAAATGCAAGATCATCACGCCCAACAAGAGAGGTGGCACACATGCACTTAGAGGATCAGGGGACGTTGTAAGTAGCGGTATATACGTACGGTAATTTTGAAACAGATATTTGTAACCTCACTAAACATATTTGCAACCGTACTAAGTGCGCAGATCTTGCAAGGAAGGTACACTTCAGGTTTCAGGTTCGACAGCTGCACGGGAAAAGTCTGAGCATGTGGGGCTCAGTCGAACAATTGAATGCTTAGGCTCAGGGTTTAGGATGTCAGGTTTCGGAGTTTAGGATTTCGGGCTTCAGGGTTTGTGGGCTTAGAACCTGACGAGTTTCGGGGTATAGGCTTGATCGCTCTTCGGGTTCGAGGGTTTTCTGTTTGCGGGTTTTGGGGTCTCGGGATCATGGTCTGGGATCCAGGGTTCAGGGCCTTTTGGGCCGAGATACTCCGCAGTATTTTTCGGTGCAGCGATCAAGAATTGCGATTGCGAAGCAGGTTTTTTTGTTGATCAAGGCAGTTGACGCGATCAGTTAAGCTTTTGGAGATCTGCTTAGGCTTCCGTGCTTCGGTGCAAGTACCAAACGGAGAAACTCCGGAGTTAGGCTAATACATACGTGCTTGTATATATGCATCTGCATATGTGTACGTACATACATTAGGGGTTGCTTCTAACAGTAACTGACCCCCCTTCTTTACAAGCTATGTCCCTAACCCGTGGGTTACCTATCTTAAGGATAAAATAACAGTTATCGGTTGTAAAATAACAGTTGTTGGTGGGATAAAATAACAGTTGTCGGCGGTAAAATAACAGTTATCGGCGGGATAAAATAACAGTTATCGGTGGTAAAATAACAGTTATCGGGGGGATAAAATAACAGTTATCGGGGGGATAAAATAACAGTTATCGGGGGGATAAAATAACAGTTATCGGGGGGATAAAATAACAGTTATGGGTGGCATAAAATAACACTTCTAGGGTTGATTAAGTGATACTTAGATTTATGGTTCATATCACAACGGTACGACTTGGTTTAAAATCAAAGCCTTCAACCCTGTAAGTCACGGCTTCGCTGATCTTGTAAAGATAGAGCACTTCCCCCTTAATAGAACCTCCGTGATGCTAGAGTAGATCGAAAAGCTTCGGACCTGCCAAGGCTTTCCCAGGAGTCCTTCGGAAGAGATCCCACATAAATATACATTTACGAACTATGTAACATGATTGTTACACTCCTATTCTCCGACTCCTCCATAATTTATTTTATCGACAGCCACACCGGGCTCTGCTGCTGCCCGCAGAGATGGATTTTACTTTAGGCTTCGATGATGTCGATTCGCCTGGTGATGCCTTCATAGATTCAGAGGCTGCGGCACCTGATGATTCGCCTGCTGATGCCTTCATAGATTCAGAGGCTGCTGCACCTGATTTCTTGATTGGTTTTGGGTCTTCCGGGGAAGACTCACCTGTGGAAGACAGGACGAGCAAGCCTTGCAGGCTGTTGATCAGGGAATGGATCAGCAGATGGCACAAGTAGAATCCCGAGAGCCGGTGGCACCTGGTGGCAGTTATCGTAAATACTCGATGGTTGGGAAGGTTGGGAGGGGACGACATGGTGATGAGGTGGAGAGAGCCAGCACTTGCGCACACATGCGGTCTGAGAAGCGAGCCAAAAAAGCATTCGAGCAGAACGAGCTGATTGTGCAGACTCTTCAAGATTCAGTTCTTGTCAAGGAGGGCAAGACTCTTCAATTGTCTGTGAAGGGCAGCTCTTGTGGCCTCAAGATCAGTTTGCACAAGGTTGGAAGCAAGGGGAATAGATTCGCCCGGAAAATACATTTTGCAAGCTTCATCAAATCGTCCTTCGGTATGAATACCAACAACGTGGCCCTGGCAGCCATGATGAACCTTGACAAATCGACTGTGCCGAGACTTCAAAAGACCGTGGCAGGGGTCTTTATGGCGTCGCAAGCGAAGATATTAGCTCGTCTTTGTTCTTACTGTCAGGCCAACCCTCCAACTTGTGTTCATCATCATGTGAAGTGGGATGAAACTACAGTGGCAACATCCTTGAATCCGGGTGGGGCGAGCCAGAGTGTAAAATCAGCTTGGTCAGTGCTGGTGGTCAGAGCCAGGATATTGATTTCCTGGCCCAGTGGGGCGATGCTGCAGCTTCGGCTGGTGATGCCGACCGTCCCAATGATGACTTGCTCTGCTGAACAGATCTTTCATGCATTGGAACATCATCCGAGTTTCTACACAATCAATGGAATGGTCCGACTACTTCAGAAATCTGCACAATTGGCAGCCACTCTTCACGAGGTGGATGGAGCATACGCAAACATCAGATTGCACAACCACTTCTTGTCCATGGGTGCTTTTGATCCTTCCGAGAAGTCAGACGGCGTTTTCCTTGAGTCTGCACGATGTCAGTCCCATGCGACCCATCTTATATCTGTTGCTATGCTAGCTTTGATAGGTGGCAATTTGCTGAACAGATATTATGGGCTTGCAGTGTTCATGAGGAATCTGGGGTACTTGCTTCGACTGCAGATGGCACTACAACAGTGGATCCAGGAGTTGGGCAACGGTTTGGACGGTTTGGAGTTTGGAGAAAGGGTCCTATGGTATGACGGGGTTAGTAGGTATTGCCGCGATAGTTTAGGGACTATGGTTTGTAGTTTTGATCCGTTGTGCTAAATTTTTGTGGTGATTGGTAGGTGGGAGTAGTGAGTGGTTGTTGTGTTGTGATAAAGTAGATTCAAAATATTTTTTATAGATATATATTGGGGCTAATTTCTCCCGATTATAGAGTTCCCTAGGAGCACTTGGTATTCCGTTGCCCTAGCGATGAATCGGATGATAACAATGATGAATCACATGAGCCGGATGCATTGATGAGCGAGACAGTGGACTTTCTTCGCACTTGGCACCATGGGCGGGATGCCGACGGCGAGGATGAGCATTCTCGGCATTCTCAGTTTGAGGAACGGTTGGAGAACTTTGTTGGGATGTGGAATGGTAGCTTCTCGGGGTATCCAGTTCATCACTGTTGTGCCGATCATTGCATCAGTCGGGATGAAGCTGCCCGGAAGATGTCGAGCACGTTCATAGAGCTGCTATTGACCACATTGCCCTCGGTCCCTGCTCCCGGCAAGTGTTTTCCTGCCAGCGACTTCGTGGGTTTAGGGATCTTGATTAATAACTTTCTTCCGATTATCTTTGATCTGGCATTCAAGCCTGTCATGTTCTCTGCAGACTTGAAACAGGACGAAGCAGCAGATCCGAGATTGGTGGAGGGGTTATTTTTTCATGCTGTGCAGGGAAAGCGCTTTGAAGCAAGCAAGGAATTCTTGCACGATGCGGATGCAAGGTGGGGTGCTAGATGTTGGCTGTTGGTCTCAGAGCACTTACGTCGATTAGTCTTCTTTGGGTTGCGAGGCTTGAAAGCTGATAAGAAGATTTCTGAGAGGTTTGTGATCTGTGAAGTGTTGGACAAAGGGAGCAGCATCATTTGGGCAGTGTTGCAGAACATTGCTCATCAGTTGATGGACAAGACTGGAGGCGGGAGGCTATGCATGATTTGGCAAGCTTCTGATTGTAAATCTTTTGCCCAGTGGTGCAGTACATGCCCTCAAGAAGTCCGTGCATTACGTCGAGTTCTGCTTGCACTTTCTGGATGGGTTTTCCGGAGGCATGTTGCATACTGGGATGAGTTTCCATGGGCACTCCTTCAATTCTGCGATCCTTCTGCCTCGCCCGAAGTCGTATCTACAGTAAAACAACGATGGGACGAGGCTGCTAGCTGCTGTGTGCCTGCCGGTTGGGCCCGATCTCTGAAGAAGTTGAGGGTGGATGCTGACACTTTACATGAAGAGCCGAAGTATCAGATGCTTTTGTCAGGTTACGGCCGACTTCTCCAGCTCACGATTGCTGATGTTGAATGCAAACATGCACTTTCACGTCACTGGAGTGATCGTCCTTTCCCAACACTGACAGCTAAGCATATCAATGCAGAGGCCAAGACTTGTGTGCAGGAGGCTTCAGAGCAACTCAAATCACTGCGATCCAAATCCCCATGCTGCAAATCTGCACCTGCTGACAGTCGCCAGGTCGTGTCCATGCGACAGAAGCAGATTCGTTCAAAGTCGGCATACATGTTCCTGAGGGATGATTTGTTGCGGACTGCTACGATTTCGCTGAATCCGTGCACGAAGGAGTTTTGGAAAGAATTGCAGGGTCGATGGGATTCTTTGACACCAGTGCAACAAGCATTCTATGAAGAGAAGGCAAAACAAAGTCAGATGATGTCCGACCAAAAGCGCCGTGAGAAGCGGGCCTTGTCTCAAGGTGGCAGAAGTGCAGCACCATGCATTTCAGCAGGTTCCCTAGATGCTGGGACACAGCAGCTTGCCATTGCAGGAGCACCCCAACCTCTTGCCCCACAGCCGCCTGGGCCGCAGCCATTGCAGACTGACACTTTGCCATCGATACCCTACAATCCGTGGTTGCTTGCTTCCGAAGCTAGTGTCACAGAGGATGTTGGGGCACTGTGCAACAGAGTGGCCGATGTTGTGAAGGCTCCTACATCTGCAGCTCCCGATTTAGTAGATGAGCATTTGAGGGATAGTCCTGTCTCTCAGGGTCAGCTGGAATCATGGTGGCGGGACAGTCTTAATCGGGGTCTCACCTGGGCTCAGTGCTTGCTGCAGTACAATCGAGAGTCGCAACGATTCAGTATCCCTCCTCCAGGGTCTTCATTTCCAGACAAGGTGACATATCACGGCCATTGTGGTTGTTTCTGTAGAAATCGAGCATCCCCACGAGACGTGCTTTCATTCCTCAAACTCCTTCAAGCATTTAATCAGGTGGCACAAGCCGGGACTCTATCGGATATCCTTTTGAAGCTTACTCTGGGTCAGGGTTTGTCGCACCAATATGTTTGGATGACCGCTCAGAGTGCACGATCTGGTGTGCACCAGCCGTCTCAGATTTTCATTCTGACCGACGAGATGAATGCTGAGGCCGAGGGCGGTTATGTGCGAGTGGTTTTACGAGCAGGTCCCCTTTTGGGCTCCCGTGTTCCGTGGTGCCAGGCAGCTTTGCAGCATGGGCCATTGGTGCACGAAACAGAGCAGTCGTTTGCCAAGTCTTTGCTTAATGCTGCACATGATATCGATGCTGAGCTTGTGACGGTTTCGAGAATGTCTTTCCAGGATGTGGATTTGTGCACGGTAGAAGTGACTGGGAAATGGATAGGTTCGGAAGATCTCGTCATCCATTTGTTGCCCGATGAAGAGCATCCTGAAGACTCAGATCCACGAGTGGCTGCACCGCCCAGTGCAGCAGTGCTTCCTGATGCTGGACCCGGAGAGGGCTTCGACTTGCTTGAAGAAGTGCTGCACGGTCCTCGCCGTGCTCGGGGGCGAGGAAGGGGGCGGGGACGTGGTGGTCGCACGTCTGCGGATTTACGGCAGGGGCTAATTGCTTCATTACCTTTCGATCCTGCCTCTATGCAAGATGAACTAGAGTCGGAGTTGCAGTCGCTTCTGCAAGAGCATCATGTGTTGTTGCCGCCAGAGCCCGCTGCAAACCAATCTGGTGATGCCATGGGTGATTTGCTGCAGGATCCTGTCATGTCTGCATCGTTACCTGAAGCCTTTGGCGAATCTCTACAGGAAGCAGTAACTACTTGTCAGCAGGCGGATGCCGGCCTCCATGCTATATTTCCTGAATCTGACGACGAACAAGTCCAGGGAGAATCGTTGGGCGAGGATGCATTTGATGCTGCGGATGGAGCTGACGGTGGTGCCAATGATGCTGAGATGAGGGCTCCGGGCGAAGGTGCATCGCCGACAGGAGGCATTGGATTGGATGCGGATTCGGGCCCACAGGCACCCTGGTTCTTGAGTTGAAAGGTAGGTTACTTCGCTTAGTTTCGGTTGGCTGGTCTTGAGTATCTCAGAAATTCAGAATGTCAGAGTCATAGTCATAGCCATTTGCCAGTATCGGCTATTGATCAGTTTGTCTGGAAGAGGCCAATGGGTCATTCATTTGGGTTCTTACTTTTTGTCTTGGCTCTAAGTGTCTTGGAGCTTGTAGATTCAGATCTTGGGCATTTTGGATTAATGCTTTCAGATTCCTAAATACAGCTGCTAATATACTATAATACTGTGTTAGGGGCTGAGGGCTTCTGGGTTTTTTGTAGGTTTGCAGTTTGTAGTTTATAACTTATAGCTTGGAGTTAATCTAATCTAATCTAATCTAATCTAATCTAATCTAATCTAATCTAATCTAATCTAATCTAATCTAATCGAATCGAATCTAATCTAATCTAACCTAATCTAATCTAGTCTAATCTAATCTAATCTAGTCGAGTCTAATCTAATCTAAGTTTTATAGATTATTGTCCTTGTCTTATCACATAGTCATATAATAAAAATATAATATAGTTAGTTATAGGTTTTAGTCGTAGTTATAGTTATAGTTATAATTATAGTCTAGCAGTTATACTTAGAGTTATAGGTGTTTCCTCTGGGTTTGGGTTGTGTTAATGTAGTATGGTTCAAGAAAGCTGTGAATACTTCTTACGATCCGATCTATCTCTGGAGATTCGTCGATGGTGATCTGTCTTTCTGGGTCCTCGCCCGGATAAATCAAGAACTCGGTTCAAGCTAAATTAGCAGGATACATAGATAGAAGATTGGGAGAAGTTGTTCAGGGTCTTCCTTCCGAGGACGAAGACACCCAGCAGCCTTCGTCTTCTTCCTCTTCAGCGGCTGTGCGACGTGGTGGTGATATATCTGAGACCATCATTGGAAGGACGTCAGCAGGGAATCCTATCAGATTGTTGGAGAGCAAGCACGGGAATGTTCAATTCGAACTTTGGGAATTAGTGGGCAGCACATGGGAAGTATTGGGCCGTATTTCAACTTTAAGGCAAGGGGATCGTGTTGTGTACAAAGGTGTATGTTGCAGACATAGGCAATGCCAATGTCTTATCAATTGCATGGATGCTGGCAAACTGATACAGTGGCTAAGTTTGTCTGCAGATGTGTCGCAAGAACGGCACACGGAGTTGTCCCGCGAGGTCAGGCAATCCCTTGGGATGAGAATTCGGAAAGTTACATGAACCGTTTCAGGGGGCAGTGCTGCTACAAGTGCATCTAAGGGTCCGTAATTGAATACTAGCTTAGTATTCAGAAGAGATATTATATTGATTCATTTATTAATTATGAATCAATTATGGATATGAAATCATGGACCATGGAATGATGGGTCGGAATCGTTTCTAGGTCTTCGTGGGTGCATACGAAAACGGTGTCGGCATCGACGGTGTGGGGTACGGTATGGGTAATATCCGTGTGTGAAATGTGGGCCATTCTGGGTTATAGGTTAGTCGCGGTTAGTCTGATATGATCTATGACATATGATATATGACAGATGAAATATTATATAAAAATTTTATTGAGCTTAGGTCTTTTGTATAAGTTGTTAGTGACAAGTGGTAAGCATCATATAGACTTTCGACTATAGACTATGATATCGTCATAGTCATAGGCATAGGCCAGGGCTTCCCCTAAATTAAATTGATTCCGACTCACTCAGCTGCAGTACTATGCCTGCCTGGATGCTCGGCAAGTTACAGCCCAGCTTCGGCTTCAGATGACCAGGTCGTGGATGGTTAGGTAGTCAGGGAATAGTCTGTGTAGGGTTTGTATATAGTTATGTTATTATAAAAATATAGGAAAGTGTTGGTCCGTGCGGGGTATGATATGAGGTTTCGAAGTAGTATGTAGCGAGGCATCCAGAGCCATATTTTCAGTGGGATTTTGAAGTAGCCTAAGCTTCTGCTGTGTGGCATCGTCGGCCAATCGATTGGTGACTATTGAAGGATGTCGATGATCAACGATAGGATGTCTTTGGGTAGGGTCTAGGCGGGTTAGATTAAGGCTTTCGGATTCAAGGTTCTAGGATTTAAGGCTTTCGGGTCCAAGGATTTTTGGGAGTCAGTCTCCGGAGTACGATGATGAGTCTGTGGCTTCCGCAAAAGACTAACTAGCCTGTGGGTTATGAATTCAGGAACGTATAGATTTCAACTTTCAAACATAAGGTGGGTTTGTGCACAAGTACTTGACGATTGGGCGATGTTGGATCACTACAGACTATAGTCTCAGGCCTCGGTGTTGTGCATTACTGTGTAGTACTGTACTGTACTACGGACTAGACATCATCCAATCTGAATCATGAGTCATTGCAAGTTCACTGTTTTGGAGTGCCAGACATTGTAGCACAATTAGAGGGTCGCCGAGTATCGTTGAAAATGTCCCTTGCTCAATATAGTTCCCTGGGAAGCATACCCCCATGCCATTGAGGTTTTCTTTATTGGCTTCAAGTCTTCTCTGTGTGATACTGTATTCTGTATTCTGTATTATGTAATTATTTATGCAATATGCGGAATATAGAAATAGATCGTACTATCTAGGGGGGATGAATACTGAACACTATCCTATCTTATCTTATCTTATCTTATCTTATCTTATCTTATCTTATCTTATCTTATCTTATCTTATCTTACCTTATCTTATCTTATCTTATCTTATCTTATCTTATCTTATCTATCCAGCTATTTTATCATCGA